CTCGGCGTTTGCGGTGATTGCGGCTAGTGCTCCTCCAGTGTCAGGCGTGTATCCTGGTCTGACTGGGGAAGGCGCTCGCCCTTCCTCTACTGGTTCCGCTGAAACAGTAGCATGATTCCGTCGAAATGGATTATTTCGCACGGCGTTGTCGTCTCGAGACCCTAAAATACTGCTGGTCGGGGTGGTTTGCACCTCGTTATCTGGATCGTTGTTTGCTGGAGTGAACGCATTTGTCAAGAGAGGAGGCATAGCTAAGTCGTTAGTGGGGCTGTTTATTAGGAGAGGGTTCAGCTGCAGCGAAGCGCGGCCGCATTGGAGAGTGGCAGACACGCCACAGAGGAAGTCCATGCCCAATAGCACGTCTTCCATGATCGAAGGGAAAACTAGCAGTGGAAAGGTGACCCAACGTTGGTCCAACCGGACTTTGGCTACCAGAGACTTGGTTATCTCCTTGCGTGAGCCTTCCGCCAGGCTGACATGAGTGTGTACCGACCGTACGTTATGTGGCGTCCCTACACGTTGAACAACTCGTTCGCTCACGAAGCTTCTGCTAGCTCCGGTGTCTATGGTAGCGTTAAACTCCTGACCATCGATTTGCACCTGCGCGATAATTCTGCTCGACTGAACCTGTAAGATTTCTCCTAATTCCGGGGATTCCTGTAGGCAGTCTCCGTCCGCTCCTCGAGGGGGCGAAGACTCCTCTCGTTTCCCGGCTGGGTACGACGGCAACACTCGAGAGTGCGTACTCCTCTGCGACCACAATCCCAACAAAAGAGGACTCTGGGATTGCGACATGTAGCTGAACGGTGACCCTCCTGGGCACAATTCCTGCAAGCAAGACTGAAATTCGGCACCATTGACCTGTTCCCCACTCGAGGAACTGATTGTAAAACTGTGGCTGGGGTGGGTGGTCGTCTGGCCGGTCGTGTGAAATTCTGTTGACCTATTGGTGATGCTCCTGCATACGCTGGGATCTCGTACTCGGTTCTTCTAGGCGCTGGTTGTGGTTCGGCCAACATTCTGGCATGGCTTCCTGTACTCCGATCGCGGGTGACCTCGTAGTTTACCGCTAAAGTGGTAAGTTGCTCCAAAGTGATGAAGTCGTGCCTCCTTGCGTACATCTGGTACTCCGGTTGGAGATTTTCATAGATCCGGTCCAACTCCTGCTCCGCATTATACCCCGCTCTGTGCATCATGAGTCTGATGTTGACTAGGTATTGTTTGAAAGTCTCTCCCCGTCGCTGATCTCTGGTGCGGATCTCATCCTCGAGTCGCTGAAAGTACCTGGGTGGCAGAAAGAAGTCAAGAAAATAAAATTGAAGTTCGTCCAAGATTTTCCTAGCAGCTGGCTTGTCCGAAACCAGTGCTCAGCTGTATCCGTCAAAAGACCAGGGATGGCCTCCGGCATCTTCTCCACGTCAACTTCGTATGCGGTGGCTCGTTCCTCGAGGTGTTGGATGAAGGTTATGGGGTCCGTGGTCCCGTCAAAAGTGATTCCCCAATTCTTCAGCTTTTCCGCTAGCGTGGCTGCGGACATCTCTGATTTCCTGGGAAAAATATCCCGCTTGACCGGATGGATCTCCGTGTCTCCGACTACATCGGCGGCACCTCTGCCTTCCAGTGCTGGCACCTGAAGCTGTGTTGGACCCGGTGGGTGTGGGTTCGGAGTCGGTGAACGCTGCTTCCTATCCGTTAGGGCGGCTGTAATTTCCGCCTCGCATTCCTGTAGCCGCTCGGTTATCTCCAGCACGTGGTCGTCCCGATTATTAAAAGCAGCCAGCCGGCTCCTCATTTCCTCAACTGTTCCGGTTGCTTCCAAGGAAAACTCCTTCTGAATCGCCTCCAATTCCCGCTTCCGGAGATACGAAATCCAACGCGCCCCCATATTGCTGTGAAATAATAGTTAACTGGCAAACGACAGGAAAAGTTTCGATAGGACGAGAGAAATTCTTGGACGAGGGTCAAACGATGTTCGAACTGGTTAAAATCTTCATTGAAAAGTTTATTTTATTTGTCACCAAGAATTCACTGAATTCCCACGTGCAACGATGGTGACCACAATCCGATGTCAAACGACGATTTAATTCCTAAATTTTCTCGACGGTGATTGAATTTTGTTCGACGACGATGTAGTTTTAAATTTTTCCACGACGATGTTTTTGAGAGCTGCCGATGCACGTGTTGACTCGGCGATGGTTATATGAGAAGCCCCCAACGATGTGATCCCGTTGCCTGTACTTGATCGACTCCTGCTCGTGTGAGAGGGAAGACGATGAGAGTGAAAACGAAAAAACAAAATGGCTGCGCTGTAGGGAGTATACGTTAGCTTTTCCCTACCTCGTGCTTTCGAAACTCTCGTGACCTGAGTTGGCTAGCCTAGAGGGCTCTCGCTCTCTCTCTCTCTTTCCGATTATCTGCCTGTATGTGTTTCGTCCTCACTTGATTTGCTGGCCACGTGAGCTTGGAACAAAGAATCTCTGATTTTAGGTTATGTACTTTGCTCTGCTTAGAAATACATGTATGTGTGTCTGCGTGCGTTAAAAATTTCTCGCTGTGTGTGGGTATACTTTTGTATAAGTTCTCCCGAATGCCATGTGCTCTGCATAAATTCTAAGTTTTTTTTTCTGAGGTTATGTTCGATGCGTTGGTATATTTTTAAATATATATATATTTCCCTGTTTCCTGCCCTAGAAATTTTTGTGTCCCTCGATATATGACTCTCCTTACGTTCCGACTTAAAAATTTCGCTTCTAAGTGACTGAACCGAAAATTTTCAAACTCTCTGTACACAGATGGGTCTTTAGGCCATATTTAGGTCGTCTAAAATTTCGTAAACCCCATGTCCCTGCTCGGGCGCCATTCTGTAAAGAAGTCTCGTAGGCTGGGATATACTCACTCCCGCCAGGGTCTCTTTACCGAAAATATTTGTAAAGATATGGGACAAAAAGGTCTAAGACGAAAATCGGTTGGCTGGCGTGAGAAGTAGAGTGCCAGCCACCGGGGTACGGAGTGAGAGAAACAGTTTATTCGGTGTCTGTAGCAGAGTGAAAAGCGTCAGCGGTAACGCGCATTTGGGCCTGGCTCATAGCATTCGCTACGAGAAGGCCGAGAGAGAGGGGATCGATTATGGGGACAACTTTTCCCTAGGGCAGAATTTATGGCCTAAAATCTAGGCATTTGTCTGGAAATATTCATATTTATGCGTGGCCATCTTGATTGGATTTTTTTTCCCTACGAGTTGCATTAAAATCAGGCGAGAAATACATTTATTGGGGTATTTTTATTGATTCATTTGTAACTCGAGTTTCTACTTTATTTTGTTTTCCCAGTGTAGTCGGGCGCGAGTTGGCTCAACACAGCCGGCAGTGATAGAAAAAGAAGAATAAATTTTCCTTTTAAAAAAATATTTCCCGAAGTTCCTTTGGAAAGAGAGTGTGGCAGTGCCTAGTATTTTTAATATCTGAGAAATATTTTTTATTTAATTAATGAGCAACAGGTTTCCTAAAGTTGGGTCCACCCTTTCTCTCGGTGTAGTCAGCTCGGAAATCAAATCAGAAATCAAAGTAGTCAAAGGGAAAAAAGAACAACATGGCAGCGGCAAATTTTGTGTTCAGATATGTAAGAAAATATTCTTTATTTAAATTCTTGTTTCATGTTTTTTTTTCTCAGTGCTCGCAATTAACGGGTTAGGTTAGTTCATGGTTTATAAATTCTAGCCTACTCTGGGCGAAGCCGCATCGAGGCCTTCGAGAAATTTCTCATTGCACGGGACTCTCGCTGGCCAAAATGCGGTTCACTCCACTCACTCACCCGTCTCGCTCTCACGCACACACACACGCGTGACTCCGGGTGCTCCGCCGCTGGTCCTGGGCCGGCACACTCTCCTCGAGGTCGTCTAGGTAAACTCCTTCCTGGCTCACTTGGCATCAGCCCGAAGGCAAAAGACTCCTGTTGTCCACATAAATTTGCTCTGCTCGCACTTCTGATCCCGTGCGCCGCCTTTGCAAGAGTCCCCTGCTTCTCGCACTTCTGGTCCGGTGCGCCGCGTTTTCCAAAAGTCACCTGCTCGCACTTCTGGTCCGGTGCGCCGCGTTTTCCAAAAGTCACCTGCTCGCACTTCTGGTCCGGTGCGCCGCGTTTTCCAAAAGAGAGACCTGTTTCTGATCCCGTGCACCGCCTTTGCAAAAATGACTCCTCGCACTTCTGATCCCGTGCACCGCCTTTTCCAAAAGAGACCTAGTCAAGCTTTGCCGCCGCGTTTTGTTCAAGTTTTCGGCTGCTCTGGGTTTTTTCCACTTGTCGAAGTGTCGGTACTCCTTTTCTCTCGCTCTTCCCTTGGCGCGTGCCAATTTTCGGGGGTTGTTTTCCTCCTCGATCGCATGTCCTCCCTCGCTTGCTCCTGTGCGGCGCTGCACTTATCGTGGTGAATACTTCGTTGCTCTCCTGGTGTGTGTGTGTGTGTGTGGCTACTGCTGATGTGAGAACGGAGGAGGAAAAGGTAAACAGAACATATTGCTTAGGCTGAGCTAAAATAATTATTGTGTATCAATATAACTACAAATCTTATGATTATTGGCTAAGCTTATATATTAAATGCACTGTACAATGTTTTTTTTTTACAAAGTTATTCGCGAGGGTTTTGTTTGCGTTGTTAGCCGCTGTTGTTGTTGTCGCTGGCTGCTGCGGTTGCTGGCGCTGGCGATGTTCTAGCTGCTAGCTGGCGTTGTTGTTGGCGCTGGCGGCCGATGCTGTTGGCGCTGGCGATGTTGTAGCTGCTAGCTGGCGTTGTTGTTGGCGCTGGCGGCCGATGCTGTTGGCGCTGGCGATGTTGTAGCTGCTAGCTGGCGTTGTTGTTGGCGCTGGCGGCCGATGCTGTTGGCGCTGGCGATGTTGGTGGCGCTGGCGGCCAATGCTGTTGGCGCTATTTGTGAGGGGTCAAACGACTCCTCACATTCCCCTCCTACTTCGGGGGGCGTTGAGAAATGTGGGTGGCCGTGGCTTGCGTGTTGTCATGCGCCACAGGTGGGACGGGTTGTCCGACGCCATGTCTGTAGGGGAGAACAAAAGGGTATTAGTGCTTTGTTTTAACGATTACTAACTGGGTTTTAATTGTTTAGTTAGTAATCATGGGGAAAAAGGTTCGCTGCAGTGGCACTGGGAGCGTTGAGTTCCCACTAGGGAAGTGGAACGTTGGGAAGGCGCACCCTCCAGCAAGTGGCCCCACTGACTCAAACATTGGCTCCTGTCGCAGTGTTCCTGGTTGGCTCTCGCCTCGGCCAGATCGAGCGTCACTCGCCGGCTTGTTTGTGGCAAGTCCGTTGCTATTGTGCCGTCTTCGTACGGACTTCTGGCGCTGCTGCTGCGCTACTATCATCGTGTATGCTTCCGCCGTCTGCGGGTATCCTTGGATGTTTCTCTGCTGCACTCGTCTTGATGTGTACATGTCTTCGTGTATGCTTCTCCGTTGCTTCCGCCTTGATGCGGGTATCCTTGGTTTCTCTGCTGCTTCCCGTCTGGATGTGTACTTTTCTTCGTGTATACTTCTCCGTTGCTTCCGCCTTGATGCGGGTATTCCTTGGTTTCTCTGCTGCTTCCGCCTTGATGTGTACATGTCTTCGTGTATGCTTCTCCGTTGCTTCCGCCTTGATGCGGGTATCCTTGGTTTCTATGCTGCTTTTGCTGTTGCTCTGCTACGGGTTTTTAGCGTCAATCGATCGCTAAACTTGCTCCGCCATCTGAATGTCTTCGTTGTCGTCCAGTCGTCTGGGTACCAGATTCTGGGTTTCTGGCTCGTTGACTGCCTCCTTTAAATCTCTAGGGATGCCGTTCTGCGTTGCCTGCTCTGGGTTTGTTGCAAGCGCACTATGGTGGGAGAAAAGAACTTAATTACTTTGTACGGGCCCTCGTACTTGGGTGCTAGCTTAGCGGCAAAGTTATCCGCTGCCCTGGAAAAATGATGCTGTTTTACGAAGACCAGCGATCCTATGGTCGGTCTCCACGCACGTCGCCTGAGATCGTAATGCTTCCGCTGCTCCTGTACTACCTTGAAAATGTCCCGTAGCAATTCCGCTTTCGCTTCGGGTGAACGTGGCGCTTGGCTTGGTCCTGGAGTCACTTCATCATACAAGGCTCCTGGGAGTCGTGGCTCTCTGCCTTGGACGATGAACGCTGGACTGAATCCGGTTGAGTCTGAGATGCTGCTATTAATTGCCAGATTCAGTTCGGGCAGAAGTTCGTCCCACGTCGTCTGCTTGTCCTCGATATACTGGGCGACCATCGTTTTAATGGTGCGATTGGCCCTTTCTGTCGGGTTCTGCTGCGGAGTATAAGGTGTTGTATGTTGGATCTCCATTCCCGCCTGCTTGCAGAAGGCTTTGAATGAACGACTCGTAAACTGTGTCCCATTATCGCAGACAAATGTTCGGGGAATACCAAAGTGATTCAAAATCCTCTCCCGAAAGGATTTTTCGAGATGCGCCAAAGTAGCTTTTCTCAAGGGGACCAACTCAACCCATTTCGAAAAGGCGTCGAAGAATTGGAGCAGCATCGTATTCTCACTCTTGGATCCCGGAAGGGGCCCAATAAAGTCGACGCAGACAGTATCAAACGGCTCGTTAATCTGTCTGGTGAACATTTTACCCGCCGGTTTGGTTTGGCTGACTTTGAACCGTTGGCAAGTGTCACACTTGCGGACATACCTGGCAATATCGCGGAAAAGACCTGGCCAGTAATATCTCTGGGCGATCCGGGTGGTTGTCTTCCTGATTCTGAGATGTCCTGCCGTGGGCTGGTCATGGCATTCCGATAGTACTCGCTGTCGGTGTTCCTCGGCTACGCACAGTTTCCAGGGCACGGAGTCTTCGTCGTCAGGTCGGGATCCGATATGCCGATAGAGCTGTTGGTTCTCGTACGCGTAGTCCGGGTAATCTTCAGGCCTGTCCTGAACAAGTTTCAGCATCCGCTGGTACCATGTGCATCCCGGCTTATCCTCCTGGATCATCTGAAGTACTTCCAAAGGCTCTCGAGAAAGTGCATCTGCAACAATGTTCTGGCTCCCGCGTCGATAGGTGACGTCAAACTGGTACTGCTGCAGTTCCAACGCCCAGCGCGCTATGCGGCCGGTGGGATTATCAATCGAGTTGAGCCACTTCAAGGCGAGGTGGTCCGTTATCACCTCAAATCGATAACCTTCCAAGTAGCATCTGAGTTTCCTGATGGCCCATATGATAGCTAGACACTCCTTTTCTGTGGCGGAGTAGTTCTCTTCGGCGGCGATGAGGCGTCTGCTGGCGAAGGCGATGACTCGTTCTTCTCCCTGGATTTTCTGCGTTAAAACTGCTCCTAGGCCGATGTCGCTGGCGTCTGTTTGCAACACGAACTTCTCGTTGAAGTCGGGGCAGGCGAGAACCGGCGCCTCCGTGAGTTTTCTTTTGAGTTCCTCGAACGCATCTTGCTGCTCCTGCTCCCATTACCATTTCTTTCTTTTCTTGAGTAGCAAAGACATGGGCTGCACTACGCTGGCAAAGTTGGGTACAAATCTCCTGTACCATGACGCGATCCCTAGACATCTCCTCAACTCCTTGCATGTGGTGGGCGGACTCAGTCGCCGTACTGCCGAAATCTTGTCGGGATCCGTGTGAATTCCCTCCTCACTGATGACGTGTTCCAAGTACACCAGGCTGCGCTTAAAGAAACTGCATTTCTTCGCGTTGAGACGAAGGTTCGCCTTTCGTAGCCGTCGAAATACTTCTTCTAGATGCTGCACATGCTCCTCCAGAGTGCCGCCGATGATGATGATGTCATCCAAATACGCAAACGCGTTGGGCTCCATGTCCGGTCCTATGACGCTGTCGAGCGCCCGCTGGAATGTGGCTGGTGCTAAGTGGAGGCCAAACGGCATCACTTTCCAGTGGTACAAGCGCCTCCCGCCTCGCGGCTGGACTCGGCTACAGGGATTTGCCAATATCCGCTCTTCAAATCGAGCGTCGATATGTACTTGGCATGGCGCAGACACTCCAAGATGTGTGTTGTCCTTGGCAGCGGGTATGCATCTGGAATAGAATGGGTATTTAGTTGTCGAAAATCTACACATAGTCGCATCTCTCCAGATTTCTTGCCCACGAGTACAATAGGGGCGCTGTGGGGGCTCCGTGAAGGCTCTATAAAGTCGTTGCGTAGCAGTTCGTCGATCTGCTCATCGATAATCCTCTGCATCGCGGGATTCTTAAAAAAATACCTCTGTTTGATGGGCTTATCATATCGCATCGTGATCGTATGCTCAGCGATATTTGACACTCCCGTCAATCCTTCGAATTTGGCCAATTCCTCCTGTAGGAATTTGTTTACCCAGGGTTCTAATTCTTCTTGCTCGGCGTTTGCGGTGATTGCGGCTAGTGCTCCTCCAGTGTCAGGCGTGTATCCTGGTCTGACTGGGGAAGGCGCTCGCCCTTCCTCTACTGGTTCCGCTGAAACAGTAGCATGATTCCGTCGAAATGGATTATTTCGCACGGCGTTGTCGTCTCGAGACCCTAAAATACTGCTGGTCGGGGTGGTTTGCAACTCGTTATCTGGATCGTTGTTTGCTGGAGTCAACGCATTTGTCAAGAGAGGAGGCATAGCTGAGTCGTTAGTGGGGCTGCTTATTAGGAGAGGGTTCAGCTGCAGCGAAGCGCGGCCGCATTGGAGAGTGGCAGACACGCCACAGAGGAAGTCCATGCCCAATAGCACGTCTTCCATGATCGAAGGGAAAACTAGCAGTGGAAAGGTGACGCAACGTTGGTCCAACCGGACTTTGGCTACCAGAGACTTGGTTATCTCCTTGCGTGAGCCTTCCGCCAGGCTGACATGACTGTGTACCGACCGTACGTTATGTGGCGTCACTACACGTTGAACAACTCGTTCGCTCACGAAGCTTCTGCTAGCTCCGGTGTCTATGGTAGCGCTAAACTCCTGACCATCGATTTGCACCTGCGCGATAATTCTGCTCGACTGAACCTGTAAGATTTCTCCTAATTCCGGGGATTCCTGTAGGCAGTCTCCGTCCGCTCCTCGAGGGGGCGAAGACTCCTCTCGTTTCCCGGCTGGGTACGACGGCAACACTCGAGAGTGCGTACTCCTCTGCGACCACAATCCCAACAAAAGAGGACTCTGGGATTGCGACATGTAGCTGAACGGTGACCCTCCTGGGCACAATTCCTGCAAGCAAGACTGAAATTCGGCACCATTGACCTGTTCCCCACTCGAGGAACTGATTGTAAAACTGTGGCTGGGGTGGGTGGTCGTCTGGCCGGTGGTGTGAAATTCTTTTGACCTATTGGTGATGCTCCTGCATACGCTGGGATCTCGTACTCGTTCCTTCTAGGCGCTGGTTGTGGTTCGGCCAACATTCTGGCATGGCTTCCTGTGCTCCGATCGCGGGTGACCTCGTAGTTTACCGCTAAAGTGGTAAGTTGCTCCAAAGTGGTGAAGTCGTGCCTCCTTGCGTACATCTGGTACTCCGGTTGGAGATTTTCATAGATCCGGTCCAACTCCTGCTCCGCATTATACCCCGCTCTGTGCATCATGAGTCTGATGTTGACTAGGTATTGTTTGAAAGTCTCTCCCCGTTGCTGATCTCTGGTGCGGATCTCATCCTCGAGTCACTGAAAGTACCTGGGTGGCAGAAAGAAGTCAAGAAACGCCTTCTTGAAGTTCGTCCAAGATTTTCCTAGCAGCTGGCTTGTCCGAAACCAGTGCTCAGCTGTATCCGTCAAAAGACCAGGGATGGCCTCCGGCATCTTCTCCACGTCAACTTTGTATGCGGTGGCTCGTTCCTCGAGGTGTTGGATGAAGGTTATGGGGTCCGTGGTCCCGTCAAAAGTGATTCCCCAATTCTTCAGCTTTTCCGCTAGCGTGGCTGCGGACATCTCTGATTTCCTGGGAAAAATATCCCGCTTGACCGGATGGATCTCCGTGTCTCCGACTACATCGGCGGCCCTCTGCCTTCCAGTGCTGGCACCTGAAGCTGTGTTGGACCCGGTGGGTGTGGGTTCGGAGTCGGTGAACGCTGCTTCCTATCCGTTAGGGCGGCTGTAATTTCCGCCTCGCATTCCTGTAGCCGCTCGGCTATCTCCAGCACGTGGTCGTCCCGATTATTAAAAGCAGCCAGCCGGGTCCTCATTTCCTCAACTGTTCCGGTTGCTTCCAAGGAAAACTCCTTCAGAATCGCCTCCAATTCCCGCTTCCGGAGATACGAAGTCCAACGCGCCCCCATATTTCTGTGAAATAATAGTTAACTGGCAAACGACAGGAAAAGTTTCGATAGGACGAGAGAAATTCTTGGTCGAGGGTCAAACGATGTTCGAACTGGTTAAAATTTTCATTGAAAATTTTATTTTATTTGTCACCAAGAATTCACTGAATTCCCACGTGCAACGATGGTGACCACAATCCGATGTCAAACAACGATTTAATTCCTAAATTTTACGACGGTGATTGAATTTTGTTCGACGACGATGTAGTTTTAAATTTTTCCACGACGATGTTTTTGAGAGCTGGCGATGCACGTGTTGACTCGGCGATGGTTATATGAGAAGCCCCCAACGATGTGATCCCGTTGCCTGTACTTGATCGACTCCTGCTCGTGTGAGAGGGACGACGATGAGAGTGAAAACGAAAAAACAAAATGGCTGCGCTGTAGGGAGTATACGTTAGCTTTTCCCTACCTCGTGCTTTCGAAACTCTCGTGCCCTGAGTTGGCTAGCCTAGAGGGCTCTCGCTCTCTCTCTCTTTCCGATTATCTGCCTGTATGTGTTTCGTCCTCACTTGATTTGCTGGCCACGTGAGCTTGGAACAAAGAATCTCTGATTTTAGGTTATGTACTTTGCTCTGCTTAGAAATACATGTATGTGTGTCTGCGTGCGTTAGAAATTTCTCGCTGTGTGTGGGTATACTTTTGTATAAGTTCTCCCGAATGCCATGTGCTCTGCTTAAATTCTAAGTTTTTTTTTCTGAGGTTATGTTCGATGCGTTGGTATATTTTTAAATATATATATATTTCCCTGTTTCCTGCCCTAGAAATTTTTGTGTCCCTCGATATATGACTCTCCTTACGTTCCGACTTAAAAATTTCGCTTCTAAGTGACTGAACCGAAAATTTTCAAACTCTCTGTACACAGATGGGTCTTTAGGCCATATTTAGGTCGTCTAAAATTTCGTAAACCCCATGTCCCTGCTCGGGCGCCATTCTATAAAGAAGTCTCGTAGGCTGGGATATACTCAGTCCCGCCAGGGTCTCTTTACCGAAAATATTTGTAAAGATATGGGACAAAAAGGTCTAAGACGAAAATCGGTTGGCTGGCGTGAGATGTAGAGTGCCAGCCACCGGGGTACGGAGTGAGAGAAACAGTTTATTCGGTGTCTGTAGCAGAGTGAAAAGCGTCAGCGGTAACGCGCATTTGGGCCTGGCTCATAGCATTCGCTACGAGAAGGCC